AGGGCCTCGCGAAGGAGCCGCCTTTCGAGCTCGGCCCGGGTAAAGCCCGAGGTAAGGCCGGGTAAGGCCAAGGCTGGCCTGCTCTGCGCCCAGCAGGTGGCTGGTGCGGAGGCTGCTCGGGCGAAGAGGGGTGCCGCCAGCTTGCTGAGATGTTCTCGGTGTGCGGTCTCAAGTCAACAACCGGGGTCTAGAAAAGCCCGCACAGAGCTACGCTTTCGTGTCGTTGTCTGGTGGTGCTAAAGCCCCGTTCGAGATGGACTTTGTGTGCGCTGCTGTGGCGTGACAAATGAAAAAATATTACGGGTCTGCTTCTAGCTCATTCACAACTGGTGTTTGAAGGTCAGAGGGAGATGATCGTTGCGTAGTAAACGGTCTGTGTTGAAATGAACGAGAGAATTGAGCCTGACAAGGTCTGTCACGGAGCTCACTTGTGGTTAGAGGAGATCCCCAAATCCTACAGTTGCGTACAGTTTGGTGTCTTTGCTGGTGATCCTCTCTTTTCAAGGTTATTTCCTACTTTTTTTATAAGTGTTTTTGATTTCCTCTTTAAACTGTACCATTTAAAGATCAGTCATTGCAATATTAGACACCGTTTTGTCGCTTCTGAAGAAAATACCCTGCAAAATGGAGAAACACATCAACCTTGACTGAGGTCCAAGTTGTTAAAGCAAGGAAGAGGTTATTCTTTGGGGAACTCAGTGAAGAAAAAAAAAAAGACACAATAGAAATATTACAGGAGTACTGAGCAAAATAAATGGCTTCTTAGTTGTCCAGAAGTCAGACTGTTAGTAGTGTAAAGTATGTGACCTAGGATGCATGAAAGGGGGGGAGAAATCAAGATGAATGATCTATGGTAAAACAAAGCCGAAAGTTTTGGTATAGGCCAAGATTGTAGAATCTGTGGAAAATCAGTGCTAGACATAGCCTCATCACTGGTAATATGAGCCAAAATAGTTATCTGTCTTTTCTGGCTGCGATTTACAATACACAGTACCTCCAATCTCAGTTGCCATGAACATAAGGTATTCTTCTCAAGATTTACATCTTTAAAATATATGAACTGTTCATAAGTGATTCCCAGGCGTTTAGTATTTCAGATGCTTTTCTCAATCTTGTAGTTGTAATTTAAGAATTTTGGAATCAATCTTTCTGTTGAAATATAGAGCTTCTAGATTCTGTCCAATGATGACAGTCCTTGTTTAGCTTCTTCCCTTGAGTTCTCCCCAGCACTTCTTCCTGGCTTCCCTAAGACTTTTGGACATTGTAAGGAGGAAGAAAACATTACCAGTGAGTCCTGCCAATGGTTAGAGAAGTCTACAACTGTATAAAACTTGCGGGTCATGCACTTTATACTTGACAATAGACCAGTTCGGTAGCTTGCTTTCTGGGTCCATGTTCAGCATGAAGCAGTTGCCGTGCGTTTCAGGTAGAGTGAGTTAGCAGCTTCTGTGCTGAAGTTATCTGGCCGTTTGTCTGAGAGCGTTCTAGCTGTTTACATTCTTGCCGACGTTTGGCTAATCAGATCCAGAATCTCCTTGCTCCAGACTAAAAGTTTGAAATTTGGCGAGGGCTACTGTCAGGTGGCCAAAGCCATGTCCTTTTCAGCTGTTGTGAAAGTCATTCCCTTGGAGTTGTGAGCATAGGAACAGTCCTGTTTTTGTGTGATCAGAAGCAAGAGCCTGGTATCTAAAGAGAGATGTCACTGGCAGAGTACAACAATGTGATAAACTGGCAGGGGGAAGGGAGAGGGGTGTGAGGGGGGAAGCAGAGAGAAAAGGCTGCAGCCATGAATTCTGGGTACTTCTACCTGCTGGCAAACAGGAGGAGGTCAGATGGCTGAAACTGAGCTTCTCTCTGCAAGGATATGTCTCTGGAGCAGGAAACAACCACTACTGCTACCGTATAGTCCAAGGGACTTGGATCTGCATTGTAGATTTTTGCTTAGGACCCGAATGCCAAAGATGGAACTCAAGTTGTGCTTCTGACTTGTGTGAGGGAAGAACGATGCCTGCTGAGCTAGTGCATTGATTAGGTGTTCCTTCTGAACTTTGGGTAGATGAGGGAGGCCTGGCTTGCTGTCTGCGAGAGCTCTCACCAGAACCGGCAGCTTCAAGGATCTGAAGGGAAGGCTTCACGGTTAAGACAGCAAGCATTGCTGTGGGACTGGATGTTATCTCTTCAGACTGTTTGTTGATGGTGTGTTCCTCTTTTTTGTGGTATTTTGTTTGGAGCAGCTGAGATCAGATTTATACTGTTGCAGGAAAGTCCATGGGTGCTTTCCTTATTACCCTGAGAACTCGGGTCCCAGACATCTCAAAGTTTGGACACCTTTTCCTTCTGTTTTTGTCCTTAATATTTTTATGGTGCTTTCTTATTTGGAAAATACTGTTTCTTGTGTTTCTGTAGAGGTAGACCTGGTGTTTTTAAAACGCTTCATGGTATTTTGATGAGTTCTGTAGAATAGTGTCATGGAAATACCTTATACCAAGCAGGAAATGCTGTGGCGTGGTAGACGAGAAGTATAGCCACATACCCAAGAACAAGACTCTTCAGCTGCTCCAGTAAAAAGTTCTGATCTATATTTCCGACAGTCTTCTGAAATTGAGTACATAAGCAGCCAAAATTGTTTTTTCTTGGCTTTTGGTTTTGCTTGAGTGTTAAATAGTCAGTATGTTCCACGAAATTTGTATTTGTTGTGGTTTGCTCTGGCACACTGAAAGGAAGATGGTCTCCTTAGTACACTATGAAAACTGCATCAACAAGACAGTGAAAACTTATTTTGTCTAGGAGTGAATCATAGAGGTTTTTTTGTTTTTAGCTTTGCTGATATTATTAGTAAAATTTAGAGGCACAAAACTTCCTACTTGGGTTCAGTTCTGCAATCAAGATGAATTGAAAATGGACAATGGCTTATTGTCTCTAATACTGAATTTACCTTCCCCCCCCCCCCCCCCCACCGCACACTCCGC